AACGCTATCATTGTTGGACAAGCCTTACGTGTGAGTTTCAAAGGTTCTCAAGGTAAATGTGCACATAAGTATTGGTTTTATATTTTCTTTTAAATTGTATATTAGAGTTGTTACAGTATAGTATATATTGATAGCTAGGTAAAAATCGAGAAGTCATTACGTCTATAAACAATAATATAGACAAACTTTCAGCTGAGCAAGACTACATGCCAGCTGGTGAAGATTTAAAACAGGTCATTAAGGTTGTTAGATCGCATTGATCGTAGTCGATATACTTGCTAGCTTTATGATTGCACCAAACTTTTGATGAGATGATCGATCTTGCCATTCAAATTGTAATTAGACTAGCATCTTTCCAGCACTTGTACGTTAAGGCGGCATAGTTTCAAAGATTTTCATTATACGGGCAACCTGGAATAGCGATTTTTATATAAGAGAATAAAAAAATGCCCCAGCTTTTGCCATATAAAAAATCGCAAATTTTCAAAAAATAAAAAATACCCCAGCACGTAAAGTATCATCGGGGAGCCGTAATATTGCACAACAGAAGATGTACTGTATTAGGAATGAATTAGCATAATTTAACGAAATACCCCACAATAACGAAGTATACATTAATATGCTATAACCATTCAGTTTACTATTAACCGAGTAAAGCTTATGTTGAATCTGTCAATTATAGTTTGAAGGGGATTCGACAATTACCTGTGCTTGATTGCCCATTCGCATTAGAGCGTTACGTTGAAAAAAATGGGCCAAAAACAGTTCTCTGTCATTGAAGTGGGGAGAACTGTCAAAGCATGCAGAAAGTGAAATGAGTCCGAGGATGAAGTCGTTGTCAGGATTACAGATCGTAAAATATTCGTCGGCATCGTTTATCGTCTCTGTCTTTGCGTATGGATGTTCGTCTCCATAGGAATATCAAGTTCAATTGGATTCAGATGTTTGTCGCTGCAGTTGTGGGTATGAGAAAGATATGCGGTCACCCTGCACTCATGTTCTTCATTGTTTAAGACACGAAAACAGGCTTGGGGATGCATTCGCTATGTTTGACAATGTATGGAAGTCAACAATTTTCTCAGCGGCGTATGGTAATGACAATCTAACCAGCTTTCCACCGGCGATCGTGATTGATTCGCTTGTTCAAGGTACATGTAGTGTTCCTACTATTACCAAGCGTCGCGGTCGCCCTTAAAAAAACGTTGCCTGGAATCTCAAGCTGCTACAATCGTTCTCACCAAAGTGTACAAATGCAGCAAATGTGGCGAAAATGATCACAACAAACGCAAGTGTCAAGTGGAACAGAGAGACTAAAGTGCTGATATTATGCATCCAGTACGGTGTCATATTCTTTCCTTGCATTCGTTGTGCATCACATCGATGTAGTAGTGACAAATAGCGTGAACTAAGTATCTACTTCATATTGTACAATATACATAAACTTTTTGCGTACAATGTCGAGTTCAATATTTAACTGTTTTTCACAATTGTTATACTAACTCTAAGTTACCTACAGATACATACAGAACGAATGTTGTAAGGAATTCAAACATAGAACATGGGACATAGAACACAGGACATGGGTATGAGGACATAGGGA